TAAGCAAAAATATTTGTTCATAGGAATATCTACTTTGCCATCTCCCTTTCCCTCCCTTTATCAATCTCTCTATCCAGTTTCTTTCCTTTCTTTCTCTATCATTCCCTATTCCTCCCCCTTTCTTTATTCCTGTACCTCTGATTCTCCTTTCCCTTTATACTTATCTCTTCTTTGGCATTTCTGGCCGCTGCTGGGGAACCGCTTCAACGCGACTACTTATCATCAGATGGAGCAGAGACGAACCATCAATATGCGGATGGCCATATTCGGGAAAGTGTTAATGGGGATTTCATTGTTGATGGCTGTAGTTTGTCTTCCCACTTCTGTTCTGGATTATACGAAGCAACAAGAGGAGCAACGACAACTGGAGGCCACTCAACGGAAGCAGGAAACAGATTTGATGACCCAGACAATACAAGCTTTATTGTCACACCTGACATCAACATCTATCTCCCCTGCCCAGACTCTATCAACGCCTGACGCATCGGCAATGAGCACATCGTCTGATGCATTGGCAACGTCTTCACCGCCTGACGCATCGACACCTACCTCAACGACGCCACCCACATCGGCAGCGGTCCTTATAAACGTCATACAGTAATCCCTCAAAATCCCAGGCATTCCTCTTCCCACACCTATTTCAACAGATTCAACATGGCTAAACCCATACAAACCCTCGATACTTCCCCATCTATTCAACAAAATTGGCAAACATGCTGAAGTCATGAAGCTGCGCGCAAAAGCAATGCAGAACTGCCTACTCGTGAAGAACTTAGCAAGCAAGCAAATATAGGGAATGTAGATCTCTGTCTCATCAAAGAACTGATAAAAAACATCACAACAGGCCCAGAAAAAAAAATGTTTTCGTTGTGGTGACAAATCTCGTCATTCAGAAGGAAAATGAGCAGCCAAGGGTATTGAATATAAGAAATGTCACAAAACTGGCCATTTTGCCAACAGTTGGTAAAAAAGAAAAAGAAAAAAAGAAAAAAAAAAAAAAAACTCCAGGCAATATTAAAATGCTATTAGTGTAACGATTGGAGGTACCTCAGCATCAACTTATTGCCCACTTTATCCAAAGCTTCATGTAACCCACTTTGTGTATGCTTACAAGAGATTATGACCAGGGAAAATCGTCCTTCCAGGCCATTCACCTGCAGGTGAAGGCTGCAAGAATAGGCTTGACACGACCTGCCACTGTTGCAACAGTGTAAAGTGTCATTATCAGAGGTCCCATAATGGGCTTGAACTCTGAATCCTCTCAGGGAAATTGGACGATTTTCCCTTGTCATAATCTCTTGTGGGCATACACAAACTGGTTTACAGTAAGCTATCAGATGTTTCAGTTCTTCCCATTTTGCATGACAATTCCACTGGATTAGGGTATCCAGTTCTTCAGGTTGACAAACTACCTCTTCATAAATTGTTAGGCACACCTTTAGGTTGTCCCTTTCCAGCATCTTGAGAGTACCTTTTGAAGGGTTGTTTACCTGTGGAACTAGTTTCCACAGGCTTCGTTTGGACAGGCTCAGGATTTCCTTTGGATCAGGAGCATTCTGTCTAGCAGTGGAGGGCCCTGTGAATGTAGTGGCAACTGGGGCTGTCACCGTTGAGACCTCTGGAGCCCCTCTTTGGGAGAGGTGTTTTGAACAGGTTCAGGATTCCTTTGCCCGGGCAAAGGGAGTACCTGAGCCTTACTTTCAGCGGCATTCTGCCTAGCAATGGAGGCCCCTGTGGGTGTGATGGCAGCTGAAGCTATCATCATTGAGGCCTCAGGAGCCTTTACTGATGGCTCCAAAGACCTTATTTTGGAAGGTTTCCTCTGTAGACCTCTCACTTCTACTCTGTTTCTGGTCGAGCAACTCGCCAGAGGCAGTTTCAGCATTTGATGACTGAGGGTTAACAATAGTGGCAGAGTATGTGGCGCAAGAAGTATTGGTGGGTAAGGGATGACAGGAAAGGAGGATGGCTTAGAACCAAGGCAAAGGACTTACCTAGCTGTGTAAACAGCACACTGGTACGTCACTTTGACTTTGTACTAATGTTTCAAAAGTTTGAAGGAGAACTGGTGTCGACTGTTCCAAACCACCTTTCTTCTTATAATGTTTTACTGCCACTACATTAAAATTCTGTAGTTCCTCTAACAGTTTCACCTCAGAATACCTCATCAGGTCTCGAGAAAAGACAATGCTCTTACAGTAATTGAGTGTTTTATGAGAACATGAGACTTGAGCCCCAGGAATGTTGCATATTGTACACAGATGATCACTTGTCTGGTGATGAAACATCAACTATCAGGCTACCATCCTTCTGTGGGGTGATGTGAGGATCACGTTGACACACCTCAACTACCTTCTGATGTACTTCAAAAATATTAAGATCCATGATTACGCCATCAATGGTCTTCACTACAAGGTATTTACCATATGAGATACTTTCATATTTACCAGGTAAGATTTCCTCAATGGAATAACCCGTTGCCGCCGGGGAAAATGAACAGAAAATAGGGAAATGCATTACTCATTTTTTATATTTTTGTGAAATATCTCTGTCCATAGATGGCTCTGCTAGTCCTGATTTCACCTTTCCTTGAATTGGCGGGAAAAAACGTAATCTTACTAGTGCTATAAATATAGGTGGTGTTATTTTTAACAACAAATTAGGATAACGTTAAATATTTTCGTAAATCGATGAAAAGGCAGTACTCGTAATTGGCTCATTGGATACTTAGTACAAGTGTAGCCATCTATGTGTAAAAACAATCGAACAAGTCGACTCACAGTGGGCATGGCATGTACGTACATGCCATGCCCACAAACTACATGGCATGTACGTACATGCCATCCCCGGCGGCAATGGGTTAAGGAGGACTTTTCTCCTTACCTGATTTGGGAGCACAGGAACCATTATGATTCCCATTCTTGCCCTTTGGAAGCTGGAAGGGTTCCAGAGTGATATGTAATGTTCCAGAGGGATTGGCCATGGGATTGTGCAGGTGGTCAGGGAGAGACCTAGTTCTTTGTAAATTTGTAGAAATCATAAAAAATAGAATTCTATATATAAATGAATATAAATATGCAGTCACAGAAGCCGGGCTCCCCTCATGGGCATAGCCCGGGCGAGGCTCTACCTCGCAAATCAGAAAAAAAAAAAAAAAAAAAATGCAGTCACAATTACAGTACTGATGGCAGTTGTGGGACTATGCACAACCGTCTTGACCTTGCCTGCTTGATCCTAAAAATATTTGACTAGCCGATTGACTTGAACGGGCCTTGATCAAGCTACCTGTCTAACCAGAATAGAAGACCAAAAAGGTGTGTTGCAAGCTGCAGGTCGCGGCGTGCAGCATCGCTCAACCTCCACTCTTAGTAAAACGGCACGCCACGCACGGCAAACACACGTGGTCCAAGATGGAGTGAACCAGGGATGGATGAACCATCCCCTCTCATAAGCCTTGGTGTACCATTTTGTCTCATCCCTCACTGGTGACCCCTCTAGTATGGGTAGTCCTGGTCCGGCTTACCAGATCATTTGAACCTCAAACCCCCCAGCGCGGCAACGCGGCTCCCGTTAGGGGGCTACTATGATTATTTTTATTATTATATTATCTTTATTATTATCACTATCCTTAGGATCATACATATCCTATGGGCAATATATTTCTGTGGATGTACTGTCTTATCAATTAATAATTAGTTACCCTGTCATTCATTGCTAATGTCATTAGGACGCAGCTTATGCATCACTTTTGCCAGCCGTCTTGCTACCAGACTGTTTACAAAGCTTTCCTACTTAGCTATGATGAGTTTAAGTACTTTTGCTGTCATTTTAACTGTTGCTTCAACATTATCAACATCTTTAATCAACATCATTACCGTTATTACTATCTTCTTTATCTTATAATTAATTATCATTATTATAATCCTTATCATTATCGTTATCACTATTATTTTATCATATTAGTCATCACTATTATTATCATCATCATTCTTAGTAGTATCTTTATCGTTCTCATTATTTCTATGATTATCATTATTATTATTTCTATGATTATCATTATTATTATTACTATTATCATTATTACTGATATTACTATTTATATTATTATCATTATCGTTAATACTACTACTGTCATTATCATCACCATCAACATCATCATTATTATTATCATTATTATAGATATAATTATCATGATTGTTATTGGTATCATAATCATTATCAAAATGATTATCATCATATTACAGTTGTTATCATCATCATTACTCTATTAGTATTATCATTATAATAATCATTGTTATTATCATAATTAAACTGTTGGTGGTGTTTTTCGTTACTGCTGCTGTTGTTTTCCTGTTACTATCATAATCATTATCATTACTATTACATGTGATTATTATTATTAGTATTGCCATTCTTCTTAATATTATCATTGTTATTGCTATTAGCGTTGCTGTTGTTATTCTTTTTATATTATGATATGATATTATTATCAATATTATCAACCTTTGAAAAAGAACCCTACCAAACATAATCATAATTTTCATGCTAGCACGTAAAAAACGTTTAAAACATGACTCTTACTGGAATGAAAGAATTGGACTGAACTCTGCCACACTTAACATTATCATTATAATTATCATCATTATCATTACTATCATTATCATCGGAGTTTTTGTGAATGAACCTTCATGTGTTATCTAGCACGTAAAAAAACATATAAAGTGCTTTTGTCAACAGAACTTGAAGCTTTTGTGCCGTTTTGCCAATTGTATAAGCTAAGGCTCTATGTCTAACGACAAAAGGCTTTCTGTTTGGCTACAATGCATGATTCATCAATTCTACTATAGAATTTCTTGTTGTTTCTGCTGTTACCATTACCAGATTATCCCTGTTATTGTTGCAAAGTTATTTATTATTATTATCATTATCAGTAGTATCATAATCATCATCAATAAAGAGCTGTTATTGTTATGGTTCCCATAAATATTGTCACTCTTCTGCTATTTTACTCTTGCGAGTATTTTGCATGACGAATTTCCCTGGGATCTTAGGAAAAGGAAGGAAGTCTCACCTCCGCCATCCTCACAGTTGAAGGAAAAGTAGCTTGGAGTCCAAGAGCCGTTGCCGTCAAGGCTTTGAATGTCAAAGCCAGTTATTCCTGCTTGATTCCCCTGGCAAGTGTTGGACACATTGAGGCTGGCACTCGTCACCACACAGGAGGCATCTGAAACAGGGTCAGGTGGATTAATCTGACTACGCTGATAAAGGTGGAGATGAAGTTAGGAGAAAGACTTTGCGCATTCATTCACATTACAATAATAATTATTACTATTATCATTAATATTCCTTTACTATCATAATCAGTATCACCAATATCATCAATGTTGGTTTGGTTTCCTCGTAGTTGCCTTTATTTTCTTGTTATTGTCATCATTTTTAGATGAGCGGCAAAGGTATGTGATAATAATTATTATCACATACATACCTTTGCCGCTCATCTAAAAAATGCGCGCAGTTCATCGAATGTAAATTCTAAATTAAGGTAGACTTACCACCAGACAAACGCTGAAATGTCATGTCATACTGAAGCTGTGAATCTGCCTTCCTAAAGAGTGGAAATACAGCCTTTCTAACTCCAGTTGGCCTTAAAGTCATGTCCAAGCTCGCGGCGCGTTCGCCCGGCCGCCAGAGCAGCTTGGTGGGCGAGTCGTGCAGATCGAAGGCGAGACCGAGAAGGTAGTATTGGCTGCATCCTGTAAGTATATACTTCGTATAATGAGACGTATCTTTCTTTCTTTTCTCAACATATTTTTGTTATTATTATTATTATCATTGTCATTATTTTCATTATCACTAACATTTTGTTACCATAATTATAATTATCATTCCCGTCACCATCATTATTCCTACTGTTACTGCTAGAGTTATTTGTATCTTTATCAGTAGTAGCAGCAGTATTGATGCTTTTATTAGTAGTACCGTTGTTATTACCAATATTATTAATAATGATATTAATTATATTTCTAATCGAAATATCTACATTATGATTAACATTACTATCATCTTTAAATAGTATTTCTATTTTGCTTTTACTGGATTATTTTTAGATGTGGGACGTGTCCTTAAAAGGAAAATTTTTTTTTTTTTTTTTTTTTTTTTTTTTTTTTTTTTGCTTCAACCAAAGCAAATTTTCCAAATTCGAAAAAACAGTACAGTACGTCTACCAGAAGCCATGCTAGCAGGTTTTAGATTCCACTTGGTCTCATGGTGACTCCAGAGAACCAGCCGGTCATGATCCTTATCACAAAACTCCCCCTCCGGAAATGCCTCGGAGGAAACGCAGTACTCAGAACCTGCAACAGGAAAGGACGACAGTATACCCTATTTCTCTCTCCACACCTCTTGTCTGACTTTATATATACATAAATGAATATATAGAGTATGTGTAGCTATATGTATATGTGTGTGTATGTATGTGTAAGAGGAACACTGCTGTAATATGAACTGAAAACGAACGAACAAACTCGTCAGGATTTCCTCAGACGAAGCAAAAGCTTTACTACGAAAACTCATCAAGCTTGTCAATGTCAATGGGTCGCTCAAATCTTTAGTTTTTCTAAACCGAATCATACCGCTATTTTTATTTTTTCAAACTTCCTTTGTAGTTTAAGAAATCAATTTCGTCATGTTCCTTAGGGCATATAGCATTTGTGATTGTAAATTCATCGGACAGGAAACCGTCATCCTTTTCTATCGTTTACTAAAATGGGATCTGTTTTTTTGTTTTTTTTTTCCTGAATGCGGGAGCGAAATCGACAACTTGTCCTTCAGTGATTCACTCAGTGTTCTTAAAAATTGGAATTGATCGTATTGTTACCCAACACGTTACGCAATTCACTGATGAAGTACAACACTGCCAAGTGCTGTTGATACTTCTGATATTTACTCTGTTCCCCGTGACCTGATTCAGTTCTTGCTCTTGCGACCTCTCAGGCTTTCAAACAATACAATTTTTTTTTTTTTTTTGCTTCTTTGCTCCGACTGATGAGCAACTCTTGGCGAGTTCGAATCGTTACGTTCATTTTCACTCTGTATTTTGGTGGTATTTCCTTATACATGCAACACATACGCACATGTATATACATGTGCACACACACACACACACACACATATATATGCAACAAATGTAGAAAAGTTATGAATGGGAATGCGTATCTCCACAATACGAAAATATGTATTTGACCAGTTTCTATTATATCTGCCCCAGGAAAAAAATGAAGATATCGAAACTGGTCAAATACATCTTTTTTATTGTGGAGACATTCATTCTCATTCATACCTTTTATTCACACACACATACATATGTGCATATGCATACACACATACAAATACATATGTGCACATGCATACACACATACGCATACATATGTGCATATGCATACACACACATACACATACATATGTATATTAGTATATACACATACATATAGATGTAATACACACACACATATATACTCATACTTAAGTAATAGATATTCACCACGCTGAGTTGCAGTGAAGTTGAGCCACTTCCCCTCTGAGCTCGTCAGTTCACGGCCCGAAACTCCTGGGCCGAAGACCGTCAATCCGTTGCCGTTCGCTGCCCACACGGCCACCGGAAGGGGCTCCTTGTCGATCGGAATTCTGAGGCCTCTTGCACATAACGACTCTTGAAGATGGAGAGAAAAGATATATATTTCATTTTGCACCGAATCATTTCCATATTTCTATGTATGTTTTTGAACATCCTCTACGAAGCATGTGGATATTCTCTATAAGAAATATATATGTGTATATATAAACACATATATATGTGTGTGTGTGCATATATATGTATGCGTGTGTATATATGTATATAAATATATGTTTATATACATATGTGTGTGTGTGTACATGTATGTATATCTTTATGTATATACCTTATATACATTATATATATATATGTATATATAAGGTATATCCATATAGATATATATACATGCACACACACACAAACACATACACACATATATATATATTTATTTATATATATACATATACATGTATATACACATATATAAATATATATATATGTGTGCGTGCGTGTGTGTGTGTGTGTGCATGTATGTATGTCCGTATGTATATACCTTACAAATATATATATATCTTATATATACATGCAAGTAAATATATCCGTGTGTAAATGTATACACACAGACACACACGTGTCTATTTATATACCCATACATACAGGTATCTATCAATCTATTAATCTATTTAGCAATCTATATACCTATACTCAATACACACATACACATCTACCTACAAACACATACACACACACGCTTAGTGAAACAAGTCAAACGTAAAACTAGCAAGCCTGAGGGGCTAGTAGACGCGAGGCCGTGTAGCCAGTGACATGTCTGCCTTATGCTTTAATTTCAGATCAAAGGAATACGGAAATGGATTTTCTTAAGTTGATAGAAATCACTTCTGAGAGTCTATCAAATAAAAGTAAAAGAGAAGTGCCTAACGCATCTTGCTTAGGATTAATTCGAAATTATTCGTTCGTTAATGAATCATATTATCACTGAAAATGCGACCTGTGTATTGTACATCTTTTTCGTAACTATGATGCATTATAATATTTGAGCCAAGATCATAGAATATTTCTGATCTCAATTATGGTTACGTCTGGTTGGGTTAGTGGCCCAGAATTCCTCTCAAGTCAAAGGGGGAAATTGTCAAAATATCTTTAAGATACACGAATAGCTGCCCCGGGGATCAATTTTGTTCAGCAGGATTTCAGTTGCTAAATGTATGTATTTTGGGATTCCTTGTGCAAAACTTAGAAAAAGTACACTGTAGCTTCGGTTACATAACGTACCTTTCGTGCAGAGACTCTCCTCAGCACCATCTGTTGGGAAATGTTTGGAAATCAGTTGTAGGAAGTATGGTACCTTTTATAGGTGATAATGCTAATTATTACAATGCTAATGGTGCTGATATATAATAACACTAATTATGGTAAAAAAAAGTTACTTACTGGCCGAGCACGTTAGTAAATAAATTAGGAAGGAAAAGCAGAAACTGACAGCTGGCTTCATCGCGAGCCATCCGCACACGTGTCGACACAACCCGATTCTCGTCGCTTCTGACTGAGGAATTTATATTAATCCAGGAAGTCTAGTTAAGTTGCCAGCCCCTCATTAGTCGATGGCTATTTGAGAGTTTAGTGGAAGTCAGCATTTGAACGAACACTAGAGTACAAGGGGTAGCAAATGAATAAACCTTTGCAGACTAGAATTACGCATATATTTAAATATAGAAGAATATAGTAGATACTAAATTTCCACCTGAACATTAATATCGCTCGTGATCTGTAGGAACCAAATAAATGTGACATTACGTGAGTCAAAGTTTATTTAAGAATAATGCCTAGTCCTAGTCTATAAAACATCAAATATCCTTACCCGCGATTTAAGTTCCTTACAAAACCCAGTCATAAATTCATTCCACCATGAGCACGGAAGATATTTAAATGTCGCTTTTCGCCCCACTTTCCAAATCCGAAGGTTGCAACCCAAACGGACAGGCAAAGGGCCCTTGCACCTGGTGTCTTGGACTTCCTCGCGCTTTCACTCACCATCGTCGACAGCATGGTTTGCGAGAGAGGAAAGACGGTATGTGCGGTTCTGCCTTACATGGAGTGGGCATCGTTCGTGAATTTAGAGTTCCGATGATATAGCGCATAGATGCCCTCTCCCTCGCGCAGATCTTGGCTGGTGAGACGGCCATAGAGTATATGTTTCTATGAACAGATGTGTCCAGTATGTCTGAATGGAAAGGCAGTTATCCCCAACCTCCTATCGTGTGTATGTGTTTGTGCATTTTCGAAAACAACAATCACATGAAATAATGATACTAGAGCATATGTTTCTATGAACAGATGTGTCCAGTATGTTAGGACAATAATCACATGGAATAATGATAGTAATGAAAACAGTGATAGTAACATCATTATTAATGATAATTTTCTCTCCCTCGTTCACTCTCTCTACATTCGTCCGTCCGTTCCTTCCTCTCCCGTCTTTCACTATCTCTCTCTGTCTCCCTATCCCTCCCTCCCTCCTCTCTCCCTTTCTATGATATATGCATATATACATACACACATACAGATATAGATAGATACTGTATATATATATGTATGGATGTGGGTGGGTGTTTGTATATGAATATGTATATATACATATACATATCCGTTTTCCCTGTCTGTCTTTGTCTCTGCCTCCCCTTTTCTTTGGCTTTCATGCTCATGTCTTATCACGTTTTATTTCTCGCTTTTATATCTTGATTTTTTTTTTTTTTTAATCTTATTCCTGCGTCCTGTCTATATTATCTTTTGCCTTTCCTGTTGACGCACAATTAGGAGTACGTAGGGAATTATACGTGTTTGTACTTACTTATATGCATACATTTGTACTTGATATATGGCAAAGCCTTTGTAATAGTCTTTTTTCTTCATTTCGTATTAGGGTAGAAAATAATGGACACAAGCATACAGGTGGTTTTACTTTTTATTGACATTAAGTTCTGAAATCAACTTATTTGAATCATAAGCCTGAAATCACAATCTACACTCCTTATGAATTGTATCATTTTGTTCTGCAAGGGTAATTACGCTTGAAGATCCGTACATGATACTAGAAACAATATTTGTAGTTAAACAGAGGATTATAGAACAATGACGCACACACGTCAGTATATCACAAATCATTCTAATTAGCATTTTCTTGGAATCATGATTTCAATTCGCTATTTTACAATAATAAAAAAAGCTTCCAAAATGATAAAATATATTTTTTCATTGCAATGTGGTATTTTGCCATCTTCCACCTTTCTCTTTATCAATTCTTGTATCCACCGTCTCTTCTTTCTTTCTCCATCATTTCCTATTCCTCCTATCACCCCCTCTCAATCTCTTTCTCTGACTATGTATCCCTCATTATAGCTCTTCCTCTCTCTTCTCTGCCATTGCATTTCTGGCCGCCGCTGGAGAACCGCTTCAACGCGATGACTGGAGTTATTCATCATCAGGTGGAGCAGAGACGGACCCTCAGTATGTGATGGGCCGTAATCGGGAAAAGTGTTAATGTGGATTTTATTGGCTGATGGCTGTAGTTTGTCTATGAATTATCTGAAGAGACGATTTCTTATTACTGTATTTAATATTAAACTTTATTCTAGATATTATTGTAAACTACATATATATATCAAGGTTCATTATCGAAAAATATCGCCCCTGAAAAACAAACAAACACGCTGTGATAACTTATTCTCTCTCACTCTCTTCCAATTCCTTCTCTTTCTCTTTTTCATTCTATCTGACTGGCTCTTTCTATCTTTTTATCTATCCATTCATCTGTTTATCTTTTTTTCACTCTCTCACTCATCTTACAGCTCTTCCTCCTTTTCTCTCATTCGCCCTCTTTATCTGTCTAACTGATTCTCTCTGTATATACCTATACTTCCCCAATTCTTCCACTTTCTCTCTCCCTCCCTCCCTCCCTCCGTCTCGCGCTTCCCCCTCTTCCTCCCTCCTCCCTTCCACTCCCACTCACCCTCATCAGAATGAGCGCGTTTTCGGGCGTCTGGGGAGCAAAGGGGAAAGACGGGCCTTGCAGGCCGTTTGATGCCTTGGCTTTCCAAAAGAAACTTGATGAATGTCTTTCTGAAGGAACTTGATACCTTTGCTTTCTAAAGGAACTTTATGTCTTGGATTTCTAAAGAAATTTGATGAGTTGGCTTTTAAAGAGAACTGTATGCCTTGGCTTTCTAAAGAACTTGATGCCATGGCTTTCTAAGGAACTTGATGCCTTGGCTTTCTAAAGGAATTTGATACTTTAGCTTTCTATAGGAATTTGATGCCTTGGCTTTCTAAAGGAAATTGAGGGCTTGTTTTTTTTCAAAGGAACTTGATGACTTGGCTTTCTAAAAGAAGATGGTCTCGAGTAGTGAAATTAAGATGACATTCACTACGAGCAAGAATACGTCATAAAAGTCAGAATCTTGATCTGAAATGAATGGTCTAATAAAATTCTTATAGCTAACTTTGAAGGATGTCGAGAGACGATAATGGAATGTACAGGCAATGTTATCACAAGCATTTTTTTAACATATATCCAATGGGCAATTATTTTTTGGATAAACTGTTTAACCAGTTTAGAAAAAAGTTGTCCTATGCCATTTATTGCTGATGTCATTAGGACGCAATTTTTATTTCACTTTTGCCAGTCTAGAATTAATACGGTCTTACAATTATTATTTTATACCAAGATTATTTTCATCATTACTTACATACCGTATTTACCGGCGCATTTTCAATATCTATATAGAAAGGCCAGATCATTATAGTAAACTGTGTTGCTAATAATAAAGTTTTGCAAGCAAGGCGATTTATCACAACCTGTTATCATAAACTTGCGAAAAAATCGGCAGTTATCAGCTCACATCATCTCGCCTTCTTCCCCAGCATTCATAATCCACACCTTTTGAAAGGAATGTTAAACTTTCATCTGCTTGTCAGTCATTTGCGACAAAACATCACATCGAGAAATACGAGATTCACATCCGGGATGACAATTCTCTTGCCCAAAATACGAACAACTAAGCAGCTGATCTGAGAGGAGGCAAGAGTTGGGGCACGGATTCCCTTAACATAACGATAAGTATATTTTCGGTAAACGATGAAACATGCTATTTTTCCACAAAGTATCCTTGTAAAATAAGGATGCGTTTTATACGCCGGTAAATACGGCAAGTCAATAGTATGATTGTCATCATTAATATCATTATCTTTATTTTTGTTATATTATTATTACCATCATTATTATTGCCATCTGATATTTAATTAATAGTATCATCATTGATAAACAGTAAATGTTGATTAACACTATTATGATAATTATCATTATTATCATCATTATTACTGTTGTAAACATCATTATTATTGATATTAGCATGATTACCATTGATATTACTATTATTATTATTATTATTACTATTACAGTCAGTGTTTTCTTGTCACTATCATTTTTATAATCATTATCACGTGAAGTAGTATAATCATTATTATCACGATTATCATTTTATTTTCATCACCATTACATTACCATTGCCATTTACTTTACTATTTTGATTTTATCATTAGTATTAGTATCTTTATCATTATTGTTGTTATCTTTATTGTTATATTTTTATTATTGTTATTGTTATTAAAATTATCGTTATCAATATCCTTAACGTTTTAAAAAGAACCTTATCATATATAATCATAATTTTCGTGTTATCTAGCACATAAAAAAGCATTTCAAAAATGACTTTTACTGGAATGAAGGGATTAGACTGACCTGTGCCATCCTCAAAGTAATCTTCAGTTAATCTGCTATTTAAGTCTTGCCAGGTATTTTGCATGAACTTTCCAGGGAAAATTCACCTTCGCCATTGTCATAGTTCAAGAAAAAGTAGCTTGGGGTCCGATCGCCGTTGTCGTCACGGCTTCCAATGTAAAAGCCAGTTATTCCTGCTTGATTTCCCTGGCAAGTGCGGGACACATCGAGGCTGGCACTCGTCACCGCACGGGAGGCATCCTAAATAGGTGGATTAATTTTACTAATAAAGATGTAATTAGAAAAAGGACTTTTGGCATTCATTCACATTATAAGAATTATTATTATTGCGATTATCATTATTCCTTTGTCATATTCACATCATATATGTGCATATATATGAAAACACATATATACACACATTATGTATGTGCATATATGTATGTGTAAATCACACACACACAAACAACCACACGCACATGCAAGCTCACACACATATTTATATACAAATACATAGATGTGTAATCATATATATATATATATGCGTGTGTGTAATATGTTTGTATATAAACAAACATACATACACACACAAACACATATGTATATATACACATGTGTATGATTGGCGATAATCATTTCTTTTAGCAATCGATTAATTTCATGAGGAAATAGATTATGCAGGTAATTTGCAGAGTATAAGGTATACATTTATGGTTTAATATAGTCTTTCTGTTCGTGTGTTAAAACGGTTCCCTCC